TGGAGGATATAGGAAACCCACTACTGCACCCAAACATGTTATCATATCTGTGTCATTGTTCTAAGAAAAGCTTTTTGACTGGAAGGAAATACATTGGCATCAACCCTGGATGCTCTTTAATTAGTGTTTTCCGTTATTCCTAAGGTTGTATGTTTAGCTTGCTTGAAGGTTAACCTCCAACTCCTTCTCAAACATCAGCTTGTTACGTAACAAACTAAAGTACCGTTCAGCAGTTAAAGGGCATTGACAATCAGTTAAAGTTAAGGAACTTTAAAGTTCTTCTCCGTTTTCAACTTTTTTATGTGATGTTAATGGCAACTGAGTGCTTTTTCCATAGTTGCTCTATGCACTATTCTTTACTTTATTAAAATAAGTAACTGAGACACTTGGTGTAAGATGTGCTGTCACTAATCTTAGCTAAACTAATCTGGGCTAAACTAGCCAATGTTAGTCTGTATTCCACCTTATCCTGCAACCACTGTATATTGTTTGTATGATCTTCTTATTTGTACTGACTCAGTATATGCAATAAATGATGGGGAAATTAAATGTTAGAAACTTCAGGTTGGGACTTCTTGTATGAACCCAAAATATGATGCCGCTGTCATATCTCTAGGGGTGCCCCTCCACTTTATTTTATTTCCTGCATCTCCCTGATCTTCTGTACTTAATCAACTTAGCTATCCATGGAGAAGAAGGGTAACCCCACATTATGATACTGTCACTCAAATGTTCCATTATGTGGATTTTGTATTCAGCTGGATGTAGAGCTTAAGCTTTCCACCACACTTAACATTTTGGATTAAATGGTTGTTAACATATAATCATAATTATATGTTAATTGTCATTTGTTCTCTATACGGCCTATGATAAAGTCCAAACTGGATTGATACTTTTTTTTCTTATGTTGGCTGCCACTTATTAGATTTTTGGAGTATAATGATTGTCCTTTGACAGCCATCCACCTTAGTTGTAGATGTTCCAAAGCTCTTTTAAAGCTCTATTTAAAATCAGATTGAATAAAACAGGGGTTGCATCAATTATTGAACCTGGTGACATCTGAAAGTGATTGGTTACACGCTATCATGGTAAATGGGTCTGAAAACTAGCTACACAAACAATAACAAAAAACAAAAAAAAAAACTAGACCTGTTCCTACCGATTCAGTTCAACAGTTTTAAAAATCCTTCACCTTTTGCATAAACACCAAACTATTCCAGAGTTTCTGCCACCACAAAGGATTGTTTACGACATTATGCATTTTCTGCATGTTACCCTGCTAATCTCTCAACTACCTCAATTGCATATTGCTTCTTTGCAGGGTTTTTCTTCAGCTATACGTTCTGTAGTCTCAGCAGCTTGTCAGAAATATCCAAACATCAACTCCAAACAACACGTAAACATGTAGTCACATCAGTGCCTGAGTTCTGAAGAAGCTTTTTAACTTTGTGAGTGTCAGGAATCTCATTGGTGATGCTGTAACATCACCGCCTCATAAATGTATTTTCTCACTTCACACAAAACCCACCATCTGAACAGCCATCCGCCCACAACAACCTTCAAAGAAATCCCTTTAGAAATCCAAATGTCACAACATGGAAGGTGACCGTGATATTATTTCCTTCCAAATTGTTTTGAGTCAATTTTGAATGTGACCACTCTCCCTCTGATGTGCTGATATCATTCATTATGTGCCATCTCGCTGCTTTTGATATGTAATTTAGCAGTCCATCCGTAGATAATTTGCTGTTAGAATTAGTTCAAATAAAAGAACAAACACAGACTGTTGGATCTGATGTTTAAAACATCATTGCATCATTCTTTTATTGTAAAAAAGTGCAATTTCAAAGTATGCAAATGTTAAAACCTTTCCTTTTGGCACATTTTTACCTTTCCTACATAGTTAAAAACTTGTTTCCTGCTTTCTCCCAGCCTGTAGACTATGAGAGTCGGAGTTCCTATTCCTTGTCTGTGGAGGTCCTCAACCCCATAGTGGACCCTCGCTTTCTACGCCGAGGCCCCTTCAAAGACAGAGCTTCAATCAGAGTGGCAGTCCTCGACGCTGATGAGCCTCCAAGGTTCTCCCGATCCAGATACCATATGGACGTGTCTGAGAACTGCCCACCAGCCTGCACTGTGGGCCGTGTCAGCGCCGTAGACCCAGATACTGGTCTCACTAATAATATCAGGTAAAATATAAGGTTTGTTATATAAAACATGTCATTTTAGCAGGTGGGACAGCTTAGTTACAAAAGCAGATAAAATTGATGGAAATGACCTGCATGTCACTGTGTCCCCAAATTAATGACTGCGGAATTTTAGTTTGGCTTAACCTTTTAAATCAAATGCAGCAACAGTTTTTTTCTTAAATAAAATACAGGGAGAATTTCTTTCTCAAATATAAAAAAAGCTACAATTGGACATTTCATTTTATTTCAAATTCTTTTTAGCTTTAAAATATGAAAAATGCTTTTTTTTTAAAACATTTGACAAGACAATAATATAAACTTGCTGAGTTCTAGAATCTAGAGATTTAAACTCAAGTCGACTTGGAATCAACTCAGACTGTCACAGATTGAATGAATTATCAGGATTAAATTAACCAAAACTAATACTTATAACATAATTGATCTAAATTAATAACATAAATGCATACAGACTTGCATTTAAGACCTAGAAAACAAGCATCAGGGCTGATTCCTCACTGCAAAGACTGGAGATATTTGCAGTTATGTGAGCAAGACCAGTGGTTGTTTTAACCTTTGTATGGGATGCCAGAGCTGCCACAAATATGTGAACCTTGTGTTGGTTGATGGAACTATGGCAAAATTCTCTCATTATGTCTCCCCTGAGTCATAATCAAATTACTTTTTTCTAAATTAGAATTAAAATTAAGAATAACGTTTCTTTTTTAAATGTATTCAATACTATATCCTGCCAAACTGGTGAGTCAGAAACAAAAAAGGTGAGTCAGAAACAATTATCTCTGTACAAGTTACATTTATAATTCATTGACACACTATATGGCTATAGTTAAGTTTAATTGCATCCTTTTGTGTGTGTGTGTGTGGGGGGGGGGGGGGGGTAATTGCACACATAAAATGTCTTTCCACATCCAGATTTGTTAGAAATGAATTATCTGTTCAAAAAAGAACAACAATATTTTTTTTGTTAAAGAACAGTAGTTGCTGTACTTTATATCACAATCTTTTGTTAAAAAATGCTTGATTATTTCCATGCCAGTTTGTAGTAGCTCTTCATAACAGTAAAAATGATTAATCTATAAAAAAGCAAATTAGATAAGATTTAAAGTTAGCATGGTTGTGTTTCTGTGTGCCCTGCGATAGGCTGGCAACCGGTTAAGGGTGTACCGTACCTTTCTAATACATACAATTCATTAAAATACAGTTAAATCATATAGTTAGATTCAGATAAAATTATAAACAGTCCATATTAAACATATAATGTACCGGTAATATAAATATATTCAATGGATCATTAAATGGCAATTGTTAAAAAGTTTGAAGTTAGCTCTGGGGTTGTGGGGAGACCGATTTCCTTTTGAGGAGAAGATCTAGACAGATTTATTTTCAGAAAGATAAATTTTTCATTTTTTATACACAAGTGTATGCAAAAAGAAATTTAATTTAAAACAGCTCTAAAAAATGTCATTTTTTAAGCAGAAATGCTTTGTATAATAAAAATAATATAACAATAACAATCTGCTGCAGCAAACAAGAAGTTAGGAGAGTCAGGGATTCTGAGTTATTGTCCTATGGGGAAGAAAGACAAGAAGAGTATGTAAAGTTAATAACATCAATAGCTCTGTAAATGATTCTGTCCAAATTGGAGACATGGGTAAAAACAGAAGCACCCAGACAGGACTGCTTTTAGATGAGGAGAAAAACACGCAGGGTGCTTAAGGGTAATTGGACCCATAGTTCAGTCGATACATCCAGAAAACAGGTAATCACAGAAGCTTGGAGCGCTTTTAACACAAAAGTCTTCTACAATTGTGAGTAAGGTTCTATACTTTAACTTCTATTCATGGTAAATCCTGATTTAAAAAGTTAAAGGAAGTAGCAAAAGTGAATCAACTCCAAAAAGCCATGTCCCAATTAAATGCAGAAGCACCAGGAGTGAGAATGTGGGGAAGAATGATAGCTGGTATATTGCCGGAGATATTTTGATAATCCTTTTCACTTCAAAAGAGCTCCTATCTTATATGATAATCTCTTCATATTAATTCTTTGGCCATTTGAATGCCGTCCCCCTTATCACTCCTTCACACACTTTCCCCGTCTGCTTCTTTCACTCAGCACCCCGCTGCCATCTCTGCTTGCTTCCTTCCTTTGCTGCAGCACTTTTTCCAGTCCCTCATTTTCCTCACCTTTTTTTCTGTTAAAAGAAAAAAGTATGTTTCTCTCTCTCTCTTTGCTTCAGATTCTCCATCGACCCGCAGTCCGATCCGGAGGGCATGTTTCGCATCAGCCCAGAAACCGGCCTCATCACTACAGCCATGGAGCTGGACCGGGAGCGGGAGCACTGGCACAACATCACTGTCATCGCCACTCAGCGAGGTCAGAGATTCCTCTTTGTGCACCACTTTGTTACGACATCATTAGAGCTTTGTCAGTGGATTATTTCTTCTATTAGGGAAGCTTTCATTGAAACCAGCATTTTTTCACCCTGACACCTGTACCTACTGATAAGTAAGAGATTTAACAAAGTAAACTATATTCTGTACAATGTCTGAAAAGCTCGGTATGTGTTGTGTGATACAGCTCACTAAGCGGCTTAGGGATGCTGTTTGGCCACAAGAATGATTTGCTACAGCATTCCAAAAAATCAGTTGATCTATACTTTGTTGGGTATTTGATGCGGCAACAGATCCCTTCCTATAGGAATACGACTTAACTCGCAACGACTTGGAGCAACAACATTTGGGACAAAACTTGCTTTGCTTGCACATTCTGATTGTAAAATGGAAAACAATAAACACCTGCAGAGTCTACATAAGTCGTAGCAAAGAATCCAGCAATCTACGGGTTACATTTCAGCTTCGGGAAATAACTAAAGTTGAGGTTGAGTTGTAAATCTTCAACAACTATGCTTAAAAGATAATTTTGTAAATAGATGTAAACGAATATTTTGTTTTACGTAACAACCCAATGGCCGTCAGTGTAAACCCTATTAAATCATTTGTGTTGTAGCTTCTTATGCCAATAAACAAATTCCCTAAAGCCTAAAAGTGCAAGATCATTAGGCATGCTGTTTCAGGTCTACAGTATATGCAAAAGCTAAAATAATGCAAGGTTGAATGAAAAAGAAAGTTGTAGCGCTTTACAAAAGTATTCACAAAAGTATTCACACGTTCAAGTACATTTTTTGTTATAGATAGAAACAATGTGGAATCTATCTGTGGGATATGAGGGAGATAATTTGTTGTTTTCCATCTTTTTTTATATGAACCTAAAAAGTATTGTATGCACTGTATTCACCTTCCCCAGGTCAATGTTTAGTAGGATCTTTTAGGTTACATATTTACCAATTTCTTCACATTTCAGTTTCCTCATCATTCCTCTGTGGACATTAAGGTTATAACTCACTTTATAGTCTCAACAAGATTTAAGTACATAAATATAACTTCAGCCATGTGTACTTGTAGTTTGTTGAGCAGGAAGACTAATCACCACCCTAGAGTAAAGATTTTTTTTTTGTTCAGTCCATTTTCTTATCAACTCTGGCCATCTTCTTTGGGCCTGCTTAAGAAGTACATGCTCACATTGTGTCGCTGTAATACCACTTTGTCTTAGAGTAGGTATGTTTTATTTACGGTTGTGTGCAGTGGCCATTTTCTGCCACACAAGCAATGTTACATGCATGCCAGAAAGGTAAACTTTGGTCTTATTGTTAGCTGGGACCTGTTCATAGCTTGGGAGGGAGGATTAATAGTTCCCGCATTCTCCCACCCAAGCTTCAAATCTTTGCAGCTCCTGCGGAGAAAGCCTTGGCTAGTTCCCTTATTAATACCATCTTTTTCCGATCTGTCAGTTTAGTCTTGGTAAGTTTTTTTATTTTCACATGATGGACTGAGCAGTGCTGGCTGAGATGGAAAAAAGCTTTGCTTATTGTTCTGTAACCTAAATCTGCTTTAAATCTTTTAATACCCTGACCTGCTTGGCCTTCTATTTGGTCTTAATGAGATGTTTGATCACTTATTGTCTCTAACATATGGTGTTTTACAATTGATCTGAATAAAATACACTTATTATGTTTTCAGAATAAGAAAACATAGAATATGAAGGGAAAACATAAACTAGCAGCTTATTGTCTTATAAAAAGATAGACTAAATAGTGTAGATTCTGTTTTATATTTACAATGGGCCATTTGAAGGGAGTTTATGTTTGTCAGATGTTTCAAACAATAGGGAAAGTCTGACAGATACATCAAATCAAGATCACCATTTATCCGCCACAGAAAGGTTTGGCTGCTAATGCAAATAAACCCTTCTTTTGTTTTAGTTCATTTTACCTTGTTGGCTTTTTAGATTATTTCTGTGAAATATAACTGGCAAAAAAAATAAAAAATAGAACAAAGTATGACTCTCAGCAGAAAAGATGGGAGCAATGAAGTGAGATAATGGTACCTCATTCTGACGTTAAAGACAGCTCTTCTTCTAAACCAAACATTGTTTATATGCCTTATCAAATCCAAACTTTTTCTCATCTGCCAGCACTGTGGCAGATCACAGAAACAGTTAGATGAATCATCCTATTAGTCACTCAGTTTTTCTATAGTGCTGACAATCATCATTGCTGATGCCAGGTTCCAGCTCAGACTCAGAGAGTTATTGTACTGTATGGGGTATTTAACAATGACAAACAATCTGTTTTCTTCCTTGTTCTATGGTATTATTAGAATTAACTCCAGCTTGGTGGTAAATCCTGGCTCAGTTCCAGTAGCATTTTTAGCTAGTTGCAATTCATTAAGCCCACGACAATGCAATCCCTTTTTTTTTTCATACAAGCAAGAGCATTGTCAAATAGTACCACCCACAGTTTGCAATGAAGGAAAGTTGTTTTCCTGCCAAGTCATGTCCTGGACAAAGTTAATCTTTGCTTAAAATCTACTCAGGGATGCTTGTGGCAGGAGAGCACCGGTGCGGCTGAGGCGGCTGCACAGCGAGCTCCTGTCTTGAATAATGAGCTCTATCTAATAAACAGACTGTTGGTGGTTGTGTTGACACAAACACAGTGGGAGCTCTGCCATGGCCACAGGCAGGCCTGCTCACCCAGTGGCATTACAGCAAGAGCTCATTTTCAGCTTCTCAGTGATAGGGACCAGTTGCTGTCACCCGTGACGAGTTGTTGCTTCTTCTCCACATTGGGGAATTTGATGTGGGAAGTGTATGTAAATGTGAGCATCTCGGTTTATAGAAAACCTGATAGGCTGTTTTGTCGGATTGGTCCCCCTGATAAATGATGAATACCACTGAGTTTGGGATGCTTTTATTGCAACTTGAAATGTAAAATGGGTGAATACTGAGGAGACTCAGACTTTATGCATTTTACACACTGTCATGAGAACTTTATGGCCGGGTGTGAGTGTAGCCAAGTGATTGTGGAGTGGAAAAGCTAAGGCAAATCCATTTAAACTGCTCCCCTGTGTAAACGCATGCACATTGACTGCTCCCTCCATTTTTCTCTGTCTGATGTCTCTCTTTCTTAAAAATGAAAAGTAGAAAATACACAGACCATCAACACGCTGAGAAGCTTTAGCTGTGATTTGAAGACTTAGATAAATAGAAATCTGCCTCTTATGGATGCATCCAGCTGGGATCCTGAGAGATGCAATATGAGCTAAATGAGACCAAATTCACCGCGTCTGGCTAAGCCAAATGAGGGCTGGCTAATGGGAACTGAGAATTGTTGAGGATTGTTGGACTAAAACCTAAAAGTTTTATTGTTCCTATGAGGACAAATTCTTGGAAATAATGAAGCACAAACCTGCAAATAAGGTGTGTGTGGGTGTTTTTCTGTCTGTGGGTGTGTGTCTTTGCCCCCCCTCCCATATGTGTTTCTATGTTTTGTGTTCAAATTCTCCAAAACCAGACCCATTGCTTGCGATGCATTACTGTATGAAGCCCTCAAAGGTGTGTGGACTTATTTTCTTTTCCTCTAAAATTGATCAATATTCTTTTTCTCACAGCTTTAGAAGTATGCTACAAGTATTCTCAGGTTTTCAGTTTCTTTTGTTTCTTCACAGAACATTTTTATAAAGATGAAAATAGAAGATAATTAAAAGTAGTTTATTGATATCTGACTAACTGTGCTTTCCATACCTGAATTAATCAACCTTGACTTATTAAAAATGCAGCTTTACTCTACATCTTTTAATACAAAACAAAAAACAAGAATATATCACTGCTGTTGTAGGATTACTACACTGGCTTCTAGTTCATTTGCTAATCGATTTAAAAATGCTATTATTCATTTTTAAAAGTAAACATGGTCTTCCCTCAGGATCTGACCTGATCTGTCTACATGCTGGTAGGTTAGTTATTGTTGGCTCTCCCAGAGTTAAAGAGTAGGTTGAGAAGTTATTGAGCATATTTAGTCATTCTCAAAACTTTAAAATAAGCAGCCTAAATGTGAGTTGAACTTGTTCCTTAATCAGTGAGCAGCACATTCTATGGCAGGGATCTTCAACGTTTTCCAGGCCAAGGACCCCCAAACTGATGGTGAGATGGAGCGGGGACCCCCTAATTATATATATTGTATGAAATTGTGTAATATCAAACTGGTCCTATAGTAACTATTTTACAGATGGAGTAATGTAATGAAAGTAATTTCGCTCTGGGATTATTAAAGTATTTCTGATTCGGATTCCTGGTTGATGGGACAGGTGTTGTGACTGAAACGGTGCCCAGCTTGAAAGAGCTCCTTGCAAGCTGCGACAGTTGAATCAAGATGCTATGACCGCAAAAATTTGATTGACAGATGACCGTTGATATATGATCGACCAAATTTAGGTGTTCAGGCTGACGTATAACTAACTGACCTGCATAAAATAACAGAAAAAGAAACATAGATTTTAAGACAGGATTTTTTATTTTTTATAGAAATTTTCTAAATTTTGGGACAATATCATCTGATAAAGTGTCGCTGAATGTGTGCATTGATGACTGAAAGACATCTTCTGCCTCCATTTATCTGTTTACTGCAGTGTGTTGAATTCATGTTATTGTGTATTTAAAGACATTTCAATTTGTGGAAAAAATTGCAGGGGGGAGTATAAAAAAAGTCTAATCAACCAAAACTTTCAAAACCCCCATGCAGTACCTCCGTGGACCCCCTAGGGGTCGCGGACCCGCTGTTGAAGACCCCTGTTCTGTGGTGTTGTTTTAAAAAGGACCAATTACTAAACTGTAATCAATACTTTGCTACTTTACCAATCTACTAAGACTTGTTTGACAATAAAAAATATATTTCTCTGAATTCCTTACTGTGATTTTGTTTCTGTGTTCTGTTAGAGTTTTCCCTGCTCCAGCACAGCTGATTTACCTTTATAGCTGATTAACAGGCTTTTGCTGAACTGCAATCATCAGCATCAGCTGTGCTAAAGCAGAGAAACCTCTAAAACCTGCAGGACTGCGGCCCTCGAGGACCGATTTTGGGAATGCCTCTTTTAGAGGCTTATGGTCATTTTTGTTTTTGTCTTTGTAATAGTTATTTCTGCTATAGGAGGCACTGAAGTAAAACTACGGGTGATCAACTAACAGCTGTGTGGTTTAAATAAGTTTTCAAATCATATTATTTAAAAAAACAAAAACAAATCACCACTGTAGTTTTATTGAACTTGACTATATAAGGTTGATATGCTAAGAACATACCATAACCAACATAGCTGCTCAAAAATAATTAAGGGAATATTTAAATACAATATCCTAGATCTGAATGAATGAAATATTCTCATTGAATATTTGTTCATTTGTTTATTTGTACAAAGTTGTATGTGCTGACAACAAAATCGCACATAAATCATCAACTGGGGTCTAATTTATTACCGAATGGAGGCTTGGATTTGGAGTCACACAAAATTAAAATGTAAAAACACCACAGACTGATCAAACTCTGATGTAATTTCCTTAAAACAGGTCAAAATGAGGTTCTGTATTGTGTGTTGCCTCCACACACAATCCTGTATAATTTCCCTAAAAGACCTGGGCATGCTCCTTATGAGGTGGTGGAAGGTCTCCTAAGGGTTCTCCTCCCAGGCCTCCAAGTTCAACCTTCAAATCCTGAACAGTCCGTGGTGCAACGAGATGTTAGTGGAAGATAGAGACAGGATGTCCCAGATGTGCTCAATCAGATTCAGGTCTGGTGAACAGGCGGGCCAGTCTATAGCTTCAATGCCTTCATCTTGCAGGACCTGCTCACACACTACAGCCACATTACAGGTCCTTCTCAAAATATTAGGTTGGGTTTGGGTTTTCATGAGCTGTATGCCAAAATCATTCGTATTAAGATAATAAAAGACCTGAAATATTTCTGTTAGTGTGCAACGAATCTAAAATATATGAATGTTTAAGTTTTATCGTTACATTATGCAAAATAATGAACCCTATCACAATATGCTAATATTTTGAGAAGGACCTGTAGGTCTTGCATTGTCCTGCATTAGCAGGAACCCAGGGTCAACCACACCAGCATACAGCACCTCGGTACCTAATGACCATCATGCTACCTCTGGTGAGTACATAGAGAGATGTGCGGCCCTCTAAAGAAATGCCACCCCACTCCATTACTGACCCACTGCCCACTTCAGGGTAAAGTAAACATTTACATTGAAATAAAATACAAAGTTGTTGGTGTACATACCGTCCAGATCTATTCCTCATACCCAGAACGAGAACGCAACATGGAGCTGCAGCTTTTATTGCTAAAGCTCCTCTAATTTAGAACAAATCTGAAAGTACTAAAACCCAACATTGATTTAAATATGTTTAGAGTTGCCTTTCATAATGCTATTTAAACCTTTAACTAAAACATAATCAGCTTAAGTTTAAAATTGAACTTCTGTTTACCAGCACCTTTTATGCCACTGCAAAGACTTTTCTGTGTGTTTGATTTCTAGTGTTTTGTTCTTGTACAGCACTTTGAATTGTCTTGTTACTGAAATGTGCTATACAAATAAACTTGCCTTTTTTTTTTCCTTACCTTGTCTTACAATAACAAAAATATCACATTATAATAGTTATATAAAGTATGGACTAAAGAAAATGTTTAGAACAATTTTATCTACATTTGTTTTGACTTGCAGATAACATGTAGAGTTGGAAGAAATATTAGCAATATTCTGATGTCTGTTATTTATATTTTGCCTTTTCCAGACAATCCCAGCCAGGTGTCCAGAGTTCTGGTTGCAGTGGAAACATTAGACCTCAATGACAATGCACCTGAGTTGGACAGACAATACACAACAGCTTTGTGTGACTCTTCCAATGCTGGACAGGTCAGTATGAGCTTTATTGTTAAACTTAATTGTTTAATTTTGATCTGAAGTTGTTCACATTGCTTTCAGTTTATTGTAAAAATACAAAAAGTTCCTTTTTTCTCATTAATCCATTTTCAAATTCTGTATCTCCCAAAAAAAAAAGAAAAAGAAAAAATGATTGGCCAAAAAAAATATCATGGTTTGAGATCAAAGTCCTGCTTTAGAAGAAATATTCCTTCTTTTCTTTAGTTTTTGCCACACATAACCTTTCCTACACATTAAGAAGGGAGGCGTGATGTTGTTATGACAGTGAGGATTTTCAGTCTTTGATTTGTGACACTAGATGTCCCAGCTTCCTGAATGCTAAACAACTTCAATTTATCCTTTCATCTTTTTGTTTTAAAGTGTTCTTGATCTTGTTCAGGATCCTAAGGGGTGTAGGGGTGAGTCCTAGAATAGCTATTGAAGTCTCAAGAGGTAATTAATGGATCATAACCTATGAAGACTGCAAATAAACACGGCAAAATGAAAAAAAAAAATATATATAAAAAAAACAAAATCGAACCTGGTCTGACAAAAATCCCCATATTTGTTTATTTTGTCCAACAGATAATAAATAAGACAAACATTACACTGTAGATGAATATCCTCACTCTACTGCCTATGTGTTAATTCATGCTTTTTGTATTTTCATCCACTTACTGCATATTCACCTAAAAGATAATAAAAAAAATCTATTTAATGCTTATTGGTTTGTTCAGAGTAACATTTCTGAAATAAAGTTTTTACAATTTTATATCTGTATTTAGGTTTACAAGTTTGTTTCTTTTGGTTATATCAATAAATACAATTTAATCAGGAAAATAATTTTGAAAATGTAAAAGGTTCAGCTTTTACCAAGCTTTTATCATTTTATTTTTTTTAGAAAGTTTAAAAAATGAAGAAATCAAACATGCAGTTAGTTTTTAACATACCGACTGTATTTAACCATGTTATTTATTATGCCGTTTTGGTATATTTGTTAAATATCCAGTCCAAGATCTTTTTTTATATTGTCGTGGGTTCTTCCTAACAGCCTCTGTGTTAGACCTCGATACGGTCAACTTGACTCCAAAATCATGAGAAAAAACATCATGGAGGGCATGTCGACGTCTTCAGTTTATCATATTTATTTCACACCTTTTGTGCTGCACAGCAATGTTACCTTCTCTGTAACCAGGCCAGACTGACTCAGTAAGGTCAGCAGCTCTCCTTATAAATCCTAAGCTCCGCCCTACAATTAGATCAGCAAACAATTGAGTATTGGTTTTAATAATAATAAGGGAAAAATAAAAAATAAAAATAAAAAAACATTTATTCCTAGAGGAAAAAAAAAATAATAATAATTTTCTGTTTCCATTCTGAAGTTACTATCTTAAAAAAAAAATACAATTAAATTTGCCAGCGGAAATCACTGACTTCCTTTATGAGGAAAAACAAACAGGAAAGAAAAAACCCTGAAAATGCCCCGCCCACTTTCTCTCAAACAACGCTCCATGGGTAAGTGCAAACGTGTGTATGTGTTTAAGTGTAAATGTATGAGTTCCGATTAATGGGCATCACCAAGTGTGCACCCTTGGTCGTGCCACATCACACAAGAGGCAAATGTAAGTGAGTAAAGCGATTGATCTGTAACTATCATACACGGGAAGGGACTCGCAGTTGAATGGGTGTGTGCGCACGTGCATTTCTCTGTGTATGTATGTGTGCGTGCATGCGTATCAGCGGGAGGGACCGCGTTGCCCCGTCACATATATTTTTGCACTTTATTGAACTTTATATGAAAAAAAAAACAATATATCTGTGTGAATCAGTTCTGGCAGTTGAATGGTTAAATAAATCAAAGCCTTTAGGTTTAGAGATCTGTCTGTAGATTGCTAAGGAAAGCATCAAGAAAGCAACACTTGAGTGACATCAACATTGTGCAACAGCACAGAGCCCAGCTAAGCTGTTCTACAGAAGGTACTGTAGGGGTCAAGATAACTAAATGGCCAGTGTGAACAAGATCGACAGGTTCTTTGTGTGGATCAAATTACAGTACAACCATTAACAGTAAAAGACAACAATCAAGACTTGATGGTACAGTTGTTCCTCAAAAGCTCTCTAAACTGCACGACACTGCTTGCTGCAGCTCTACAAGAAGGATTTTCTCTCCTTTCACAAAGCTAAGGCCCTTCTGATCACAGTTTCCCCAACATCTCGATGGGAAAAACTGGGCAATAAGCTTCTTCTAATACCATCCTGACAGAAAAGCCTATCCATGGTAGCCTGCAATAATCTTATTATGCTTTAGGATGTAGAGGATACTAAAACTTAAGGTGAATATGTTGACAGATCCACTGATCAATAAATCCTTTGCAGTGGATTTCACTTTCCTTCCAAGAGCCATGTTTATTAACTGAAATAAGGACATCTGTATATATGATTATACTATTATAAGGACGTCTTCGCTTAAAATAAACGATAATTAAATAAACCACACCATTTTAATTGGGAGGAGTCGTTATAGAAAAATCTGTTGTTTATTTGATTCAATTTTTACAATTATAAAGCATTTGGAGGATATTCACAGGGAGTATTCCCCTTTTAAATGACGTTGAATGAACAGGCGGTCCTCAAGGGCAAATGTCTTACAGGTTTCTCTGCTTCAGCAAAGCTGATTCTTATTATTGCAATTCAGGAAAAGCCTGTTATTCAGCCATCAATGGAAATCTACTCTGCTGAAGCAGGGAAACCTCTAAAACCTGCTAATTAATCAGTAACCCTTGAGGACCGACTTTGGGCGTGCCGTCTCAACACAATACTCCATTCTGTCAGTTTGTTTGTATTGCTGGACAATTATTAAAAATGCCTTAATACGAATTCAAATATTCACAGCCATTGGTTAAAACTGCTGATCCATATTTGGCAACCTTTTAGAATATGATGCCAGACGCTAAGCACATCACCTCTAGACAGTGTGCCTGTTCTTTGCTCTACATCTCAAGTTCCATCAGATTTGATGGAGGACATCACTGTAGAGCCGTTTGTAGTTCTCTACAGAAATGTTAAACTGAATCCAAGTCTCTACTCCGAGTTGTCGACCCTGGAACTTTCACAGATTGGTTCTGAGACCCCTTTTTTGAGGTCTTGACTGGGTGCTTTGGGTTACTACCCCAGTCTGAGGTCAAGAGCCCTCTGAAGCAGGGTTTTATCTTTGTATGATGTTGCATGTTTCCTTCTATCCTCACTAGTCAATTCCTGCTGATTAAAAAAACATCTCCACGGTATGATGCTGCTACCACCATGCTTCATGTAGGGCTAGCATTGGCCTTGTGATTAGGAGTGCCTGATGTCTAAGATAGACAGACACGATGTTGCCGTTGGCAACTGAAACCACATTTTCATATGTCACAGGTTGAACTGTGAGTTCCCACCTTGGGGACAATTTAACAAATCTATGCTCATTTACTTTTCCATCACTCTGCTTTCAATTTAATTACTTTTGAGGGTTTCCAGCTGTGCTAAAGATTGCATTTCTTTTTTCAAAAAGATGAGAGTATAATTTATGCTTTAATGGCAGAACTGCTCCAGCTGTAGGTTTTCATAAATACAAGGCTCTATAGGCTCATCATTGACTTTGGGGCAGTAGCTGAAGATGGAGTCTGTGCTCAATAGAAAATCATCGTTCTAAACTTGGAGAAGGAGAAAAACAGATTTACAGTTAGGGAATGTGGTGCAGGAAGGAAGGCAAGCCAGTATGACAGCTTGGTAGATAAAGATAGAACTTTCACTCTTTGCCAGATTTAAGTAATATCTGGGATTGCCACAATATGATCATACTTTTTTATATCACAATCATAACCAAAAATGATTTTAGAGGGTGCGACATGATGGAAATATAAAATGAGACGCTGAATATTACAATCATAATAATAATACACGTTTATATTTTGTCTATTTTCATTTTTATAATTAGACAAGTGCAAAACTATAAATTAACACCAATACATTTTGACAAAATTTTAATAAAGATGTTTCTTTTACTCAGAAAATCATACCTCTTTATGCAGTGAAAGAAGGACAACAACCTGCTATCTTTAATTTATAAGTCTTTCTATCTGGTAAAGTGTTCTGTAGTTGAGTACTTTACAGTCAAGCAGCCCATTTCGAACAGTAGTTTCAAAAAGCTGGTACCATATGCTTTGTTTTTATTTTACTTTACAAGACTTCAAGACACAGAATAGAGTGCAGGATTAGCGAGTATGCAACTTTGGTTTTCAAACCACACATTTCACAATGTAGATCCACCGTAATACCAGTAACCAGTGGATTCTTTGTTTTGGGACAGATAAAGCATAACTGATTCATTTTTTTGTGCTCATTTATGTAAAAGCTATTGTATTTAATGGCGTTAATCGTTCATTGGATCAGGGATTGAGGAATCTTTAGAGGTGGGGGTGAATTTTAATGTGCTCTAATTTAATTGAACTTTAACTTTCATTTTCCAGTCTAAAGTGTAGGGCATTTAAGGCAACAGGTGGTGAACATGGAATAACAGTGTACTTTGCCATGCAATAATATTAGTGTGGAAACATTAAAGCCTGAAAACATGTTTTAGATAAAAGCCATTCTTAGAGACTAATTTATTGAGCCAGACAACCATGCTTGTAATCATAAATCAGATGGGGTCACAAATCATTGTTAGTAAGTACTCTTTAAAGGTCAGTGAGCATTTGCATGTTGTCTAAACTGAATACTAACCTGTTTATCTATTAAAATGCCAAAAAAAAAATTAGCTTGAGCTAAGTTATTTTACCAAGCGTGAAAGACTGTTTAAGGGCCTGCTGATTAAACACAATGGACAACACATGAGTGACTATTAAGTCATTAAAGTCTATCATCCAGCAATAACAACTTGAACTTGATTATAAACCTGCTGAGGGAACAGCTGTTGTGTTTCATTCTGATAACTCATCATTGTCATTTTCAAAGCAAGCCACCTCTTTATTGTTAAGTAAGTGTAATTATGTAATTATATGTTTTCTATTATCTTAATTTATGGGATTAAAACATATATCTTGAGCTTAAAATGTCAATTTTCCTTTAGAGAGTGTTTTTTTTTTTTTTTTATAAATCATGTAGAGCCTATTTCAATTAAAGTTTAAAATAAAACACTGGCATTTGTCCCACTGAGTTGATGGTCTGGAAAAGGCAATATAAATAAATAAGAATAAAGTTAATTCTTACATAAAAAAATTGGAAATGTTTTTCCTTTAGAAGAAGATATGAAATCACAGTTGAAACATACATCTTTCTATTACATATGGAGGTGTAGAACATGCATGTATATTGAAGCATATAAAGGATGTAAGCATTTGGGGTTTGGAGAGACAAGGCTAAGTGTAGAGGAAACACAATTATGCTTGGCTGGGTATCAGAGTACTACAGAGATTCTCAGCGTAATAAATCTTTAACTCACTCCCAAACTACATCAGTCAAAGTTGGGAAAAAGCAATAAATGCATGCACATTACTGTGAACAAAATATCTAAAAAAATATTCCTACCTTTACAATTATGCTTTGAGTGACTGTAATTGCAGTTGATGCATCTAACTTGTCTGTTGTTTTTGATCTTCTCTCTTCACACACTCAGCTCAAATATCCTCAGACCACTGTTTGATTGGAAAGATCCCCAAACAGAATGAAAAACTGATTTTACCTTCCACTAGAGCAACTTGGGAAAAAAGCGCATAAAAAGGAAAAGAAAAAACAAAACTTCACAAATACTTTTCTAATAAAAAAAGAGGCTTGGTTAACCTTAAAAAGCTATACGGCGTCCATAGATGTTAAGTGTTTGAAGAATTACTATTCTTAAAGCAAAACTCTACATTTTAAAGTAGGTAAAACAACTGCAATCCTTGAAAAACAAAAGGAGCAGGATCGATTTGCTGAGGGCTTTATCGTTATTTGTCATTGATTAGCGGTACCACAAAGCTGGTTATCAACTCTCTAACTCAAACCAGGTTTAACTGATGAGGGATCTGTGAACACGCATGTATGAGGGGGGAGCTTTAAGGTACAGTAGCAGACCAATCACAACCATGAGCGCAGAAGCGAGAGTGCTGCATTTCTCCTGTGAGGAACAAAAACATATATTACAGAAATATGAAGAAGAAAAGAGAGACTCAATGAAAAGTCAAACATGGTGGCAGCATGAAAGAGACACAAAATAGCGTGGCATAGGCCTACACTGGGAAAAATCTAAATCTGGATAAGTCATTATTTTCTTAAAATAAGTGTAGTTGTTCTTGGATTGAGGATGTAAAAGAGACATTTTGCCAATGGAAAAAGACAATTTACACTTAAAATAAGAAAGCACAATTGCATTGTCTAATTTCAAGTGCATGTTATCTAATTATCTTGTTTTAAGAGTAAAAATACTCATTCCACTGGCAAACTGTCTCATTTACCTACTCAAATTAAGGGTAAATACACTCAATGTAAGAAATTTGTACTTATTTCTAGGTCGTTTTTCTAGTGTATACTGACTGCGTAAATGAGCAAGGTTTACATTATGTCATTTAATACAGCCATGCATCCCAATCACTGTACTGTACATATTAATTGCGTGCCCCCGAAGAGTGAAGAGAAAGTGGGAGCAGATAGAAATAAAACACCCAAACATTATTTCATCTGGTTAGTAGGACCTTTTGATTCAATAATGTATGGGCTACAATAAAGCTGATGCTGATGCCACAACTTCTTGCATCATATTAATACAGGAAGAGATCAGTCTGAATGAAATCCTCCCGATCCGACCTTCTGGAGCCTGAGGGTGCTACCTATATCCATTAAAACACCCATGGGAACTTCCAGCCTTCATGCTGTCTAGGAAAGAGGCAGATTCTTAGTGCACAAGTGAAGAATATTTTGTACTAAATATGGTTATCAAGTAATATTGTGTGCAAGCTGAATACTTAAAATAGTTGAGCATCCCTTTGAATCACTTTCCCTTTGAGATCGACCCAAAACTGGTCGACCAATCACATTAAAGTAGGATTGATTAGATAGAAAATATAGCTGTGCATTACAATTGTATGTTTCTGTAGTTTCTCATGGTGTCTGCTGACATTTTCGATTGTTACTGTGATTGGCTAAAACAAAACTTTGGATAGTTGGGCTCTTGGTGTTGCTTCGCCCAATCACCTCAGAAGGGTCTGCTAATTGTTCCTCCTTTCCCTGAACAGATTTGATTGAGCAGTTTGGGATTAAAAATTTGTAGAGCTTAACCTAAATCTTCTACCTTATCAAACTGGCTTACCAGGTTAGGTAGTGCATAAACTCCCTGAGCTGAAAAAATTCTTAGACAAAGAAGTCGAAATACATTAAAAGCCAAATAACATTTTACTTCTAGGCTCAAGACCAAAGACCTTGATATTTAAAAACACGCTTTGGTTCTAGAGAACAAGGATTGTTACTTTACGAAACAGATAGAATCAGAGGGAAGGAAAGGACTTTTTGCAGAAATATTGAAGCACCTTCACAAGACACTGTACAGGATGTTAATTTGTGTCCAAAGTATTCCCACCTTGGACACAAATGGGTCTTCCAAGGGGACAATGACCTTATCATATTGCCAAATTGGTTATACTGTGGCTGAAGGACGTAATTGTTATTGTTTAGGAGTACCCATGATAAATCATTGAGGATAATCCCATTTAAAATTTGTGGGCAAGGAAGAAAAGGTGTTTGTGATATAAGGCGACCTACAGACAGCAGGTCTTTCAGGAAAAAGAAATAACTGCAAGCTAATTTACTGTGAGAAGCAATCTGAACCATATCCAAATGTTTTTTTTTTAGTCATTGTTTAAAAGCCAATTTTACCAATTACTATGAAAATATCTGCAGTATATAAATTTCTTAATATGAACAACGCAGAACCTCACTGTTCTGACTTATCTAAAACTGGAAAAAAGGGTAAGTAAAAAAAAAAAAGGCTTTTAACTACAGTACAAATAATTGTAAAGTATCCAAAGTTTGGTTATACAAAGTTGCTTGTAAAGGAAGGTCAATCTTCCCTGGCCTGTTATCCAAATACAGCAGCTATTTCCGGTGTAATTAAACCCTGCTTTCTCCCAAACTACCTCCCTCCTTTCCGCTATCCTTCATGCTTTATTTGTCTTCATGTCTATTTTTCCGCATCACGGTTTTCTTACTCGATCCCATCTCAATTATAGAAATCTTGTCTTCCATCCTCAGTGTCTCTGTGGAAGCCAGCCTTTTGCTCCCGCTGTTTTTATGTTCTCCCCTCTATCTTCTGTATTCCACGCTGGCTCCATCTCTATAATTTGGTGTCTTGGCCCATCTGTTGTTTTGGCTGCTGTTTTCATTGCTCTGCTTGAGTCTTTGTTGTTTCGCCACTAAATCTGTGATTTTGTGGCAATGGCATTGATTTATGTGTGATACTCGTGTTTGTGTCTGTGTATATTGTTATTTGAGCAAGTGGGAGACAATTCAGAAAGATTATGATGTCTTTCACTCTGTTAAAGTTGCGTGTTCGTGTCTCGGCTTGACAAGTCATTAGACAAAAACGCCTTTGAATATTCACACCAGAAGCCGATAAAGTAGTGGGACTGAACACAGGGATTCTTGAAAAGGCCTGGAGACGCTGACTAACTCAGAGAACATGCATCTCCATTCATCCCTGCCTTGTGACTACTACTCGAAAGCATTCCTGAAAAAAACATATTGCATAATGACAAGCCGAGTTTTTCATTAAAAAGAAATTACCCGTCACGCACGGGCCGCAGGAGATTTCTTTTAGATTAATTTTGTTACTATTTCCAGTGAAGATGCTCTTACTAAATTGAAAGCCACACTTCACTGTATTTGGAAAAGCTGATTCACATCAAATGCAGTTATTTATTTGGTGTATCAGACACTGCTCGCTTGTGTCTTCATACTAATTGGCTTGTTATGATTCCTGCTGACATCAGCTAATGGTTCAATGCTAAAAGCAGTCTCTGTGAAGTGTTTTTCCATCGCTTTTCATTTGTTTTCTCTGCTCCCCACGCATATCCTCTTCACACCATACACATACTTTTATTAATACCCACCCCTCACCCAGACTCTTCTGCTTTTTATCGCTTTGTTTCAGGTGGTGCAGGTGTTGAGGGCGATTGATAAAGATGAGGGAGGGAATGACAGCACCGTGTATTTCAGCATCCCTCCAGAATCCGGCGTTGCCCTCAACTTCAGCGTCAGAGATAGTGGTGGTAGGTATTCAGTCTTTACCCCCTAGGTGCCCTCTTCTTGCTTCTTTCTTATTCTGCTTTCTGGCAGACAGCATCTCTGTATTCCGTAAGACCTTAAATCCCACCAGTTGTTTTTTTTTTCCAGAGATTCTCTACCGTGTTTTTTTATGTATTCTTCATCTCTGTACTTTTATCTCAATTCTGTTTTTCTCTAAGTCCCTCTTCTCGTTTTCTGCTTCTGACTCTTCAGCAATCCATCGACCAACTCTGGCATTTTCTTTGTTCTGCATTATTATCCTTTTTTCTTTTTAGTTCAGTCAATGAGTTTGCTTTCCTGTTTCCCCTGCATTCATCTCCTCACAACGTTCATGTTCATTTACTGTTTCCTAAAAATGCATGTGAAAAAAACTCTTTGAGTTCATCTAATGATATTTTTGCTGGAGTTTAGATCATTCTTCGCTGCATTGGAAAGCTCATACCACACCACTGAACTTTCGTTTTGCAGTTTCTAATGATGGACCACTCTCTTTCTCTTCTTTTTCTTTCTTTAGACTTAGTTAAGTGTTTTATCAAAATTCTGGATAGCTTTATATATGCTCAATTAGGGTATCCACAAGTTTAACACTCTTTCTTGATTTGTTTGTGTTCCTTTTCTTGTACTTCCGTCCTTATAGGGATCTGTTTCCAATGCTAGAGCGCTTTGCTTACACTTTATGATACACTGTGGTGAGATTGAAAGTGTAAAGCCCCGTACTTGTCCCAGTCTTTGGGTTTTTTCTAAAAAATAAGTTGTGAAGCTTTCATGTATCACAATGTACTCTATTCAGTCTAAAATTGTTGCTCGTTATCTTTGGCAACCTCTCCAATGAACTTGAGATCATCGTCAATCAAGTTAATGTGTCCACATTAACTTCTTTAGCTCTGACTTTGATCCTCTGTAATTTCATGTTTCCAAACCAGTTGCTAGGTATCATTCCTTTATAGGAATTACATTTTTTGCTTCCATCTTTTTTAGGTATACGTAATAAAATTAGAAATGTGGAAAAATAAGCACACTATGTATTGTTGTTTATTCAGAGAATTTAGCTCAAATTATATATGACAATTTAATGTATAGATGTTATTTAATTGCAATATTATGAAATAAGTACTGTATTTTCCGGACTATAAGCCGCTACTTTTTCCCCACACTGTGAACCATGCAGTTTATAAGAAAGTGCGGCTTTTCTTTGGATTTTTCCCAACTATAAAAGGGGGAAGTCATAGTTTTAAACGAAGAATAAGGGGATCATTTTCATTCAGTACAACATGCTAGCAACAGGCACGACGGAAAACAAATGTCACAAATTTACACATTTTGACATTTATTTTTCGCTTTAAACCTGCTGAACCAAAGACAACACTGGGCTAAACTCGGGCAAAGCTGAAATAAAAAGCCAAAGAAGCCCCATTTTTTAGTGGAAACTCTTACTGCTGCGAGCCAACAAGCTAACAAGAGCTAGCATTGTTCTTTATCCCTATTCTATGGGCTATATGTAGAACTCCCTCTGAAGGTTTAGTGGGAGACACTTCAGTACATATCAGCGTCTTATAGGTCGGTGCAGCTTAAATATGCACTTTTCCAGTGTTTTCAAAAAATTTAGTGGCCGCAGCTTATAGTGAGGTACCCTCTCAGTCCAGAAAATACAGTAATAATGGAAATTGATTTGGACAATGGCAAAAGCCAAGAAAAATGATTGTGGTGGAAGATGCCATCAAAGAACAACGACATAGGGACTAAAATTTGATATAGATGGTTTAATCGGGGATTATGTGGAGCAGCTGAGACGCAACAGAAGAGGGGAATATGATGGAGGAACACTAACACAGAGGGAACTAAAATAAGATACAAAGAAATGATTAATGATAAAAAGACAACTAATAACCAAAGAGAATGAATTTATATACAAGGAAACAAAAGAAAGTAATAGAGTAAGAAAGAAATATGAATGAATGAACTAGTATAACACCATACTAGAAATATTGAAACCCTTAGGGCAGTTGTTCTTATAACATAAGCAATACGGTGACCAGACGTCCCCGATTTCCCGGGACACTCCCCGTTTTGGACTACCTGTCCCCGGCTAAAGTTGTCCCTGGAAATGTCCCAGATTTAATTGTTTTATGAATGAGAGGGAAAAATGCAGCATATTACGGTAGAAAAAGCGCACGAGCACGATGCAAGCAGAAACAGCTGTTAGCTAGCTGATTGTCAGCTGTTAATGTATAGATGAGGAGCAGTGGGTTAATCCGTTCATTTGATTTGCTGATCATTGTGATAAATGTTTGGTCCGTGACCAGGTTAATAAAGAAAAAGGGCTTTGATGTGTCTTGTTTTAATAAAGATGAGGACTGGAAATGTATTATAAACCTAGCTAATAAAAAAAAAAAGTAAGACAGAATATTGGCTGCAGCTGGCATTAGTAAATTGACTCAGATAAAATTAAACAGAATGACTGAACTCTTTGTAAGGCACTAATTAGGTTCGATGGCTCTCCAGGGATCAACAAGGGTTCATCTAAAGATGTTTTTAGAACTGAATGGTGACCTCTGGTTCATATCTTCAGATAGTTTGTTATTGTAGGTAGAGTTATTAGCTGTTTTGCTGTTTTATTGTTGTGATTTAGACTTCCAGGCTTATGTCTAGTTTTCTACCTCCCAGTTTGAATATATGAAAGTTTCTCATTAAAAAAAACAGACAGTAAAAAGAAAACTGAATAAAACCAGATCTGCATGATCTGAATGATTGAGGAAGAGATAACCACCTGTTTAATGTTCATTTATTATGTTGTTTCTACCTGTAGCTCCAAATGTTGTGGTGATTACCCTTTTTAGTATTTAATCAGGTAAGATAACAACAATAATAATAATAATAATCACTACCATAATAATAAACATAATTTGTAGAATGAGATTATATGTGTTTGGAAGGGATTTTGATTTTCCCTGTTTTAGATTAGTGTTAGATTGATAGGAGAGGAAGAAGATTAGAACACTGATAGAAAGAAGATTGAATGAGAGCGGAGGAAAATGGGAACACTGATGAGAAGATCAGTTGAAGAGATGGAAGAAAAAATTTACTTAGAAGAGTAAAACAGAAAAAACAGAAGTCAGCTCAGGGGCGCTGCCAGGAATTTGGGACCCATGAAAGACATTGATATTGTAAATGATACTGAAGAGTATCATTTACATTTTCAACATTTTTATAGTAAAATTTCTAAAAAAGAACATTATCAGAAAGTGAAAACTCTACATGAACTTTAATCTTTACATTTACATCCTATTAAATTAATAACAGCTTCTTTAAAACAATAAGCACAGCTTTATCTATGTACACGTGGATAGAAAATTACTAATAATTTAGGATTGTAAATGTATTCTTATTAAGTTTCACTATAACCTTTTTAAAGGACAGATTATTTTCATCCTAGCCCTGAGAGCTTATTTTTCAATCATCTATACATGCAATGACAAAACATGTATTTTTGGTGTGGCTGCTTCAAGCTGCTAATGAGAATGATCAAAATTTATATAGATCTTTTAATGGTTGTAATTTAATCTAAATAAAAAAATCTAACTAAACTTTTTTAACATTGACACAGATTTTAATACAGGCTGCTGGAGACTCCCCAATGCACTGCAGCTGTCCAGGATACAGTATAAACAACTGGAGCTCGTTTCATTTTATAGCTGTCATTATGTAGGGAAAAAACTATATGTTTTTAAATTTTTATATATATAAAAAAGTTTGATTTACATTTTTGGAAATGGGAAAAGAGGGAAATTCCCACAGACTCTGTATTGATGCAAAATGGCCTGTAATGTTATGTTGCTCACAAGAGAAGAAGACAGAGCAGACTGAATGACCAGATGGCATTCATAAACAACATCGATTGATTAATTTTACTAATCTTAGGAAATAGAAGTGGTGCATTCCTCTATTTTAAACTTGATTATTTAAACATTAAATATGTAAAAATGGATGAAAGCATCACTGTCTCCATTTCCTATTTTGATTTTTATGAAATGTATTTATTTCTATCTATGAGCTGGAAATAACCCTAGATTGGAGTTCGGAAAACTTGTCACCTTAATTATCGATAATAACCAATATTTACAGGGAATGGAAACGAAATCTGAACACTAGACATATTAACAACTGGGCCTGAATGCATCATGTGTTTCCTGTCTGTGTTTTCCTCTGGGCAACCATCGCCCTTAAAGCTCTGGATGGAGAAATCCATTTTAGGCTCACAACAAAATAAATCCGAAAGGGCACATTTCCAAAACTTTCCATTTGCTTCCCAATAATACGATCCAGACACTATGTTTTTTGTTTTTTTTTGAAATTATAAAGCTTTAACTCATGTTGCATTTAAGTCTTGGTGGCAGATTTGGACATGTGGGTCTGTGTAAAACAATGACTGAAACTTTTTTTGAACAGCTTTTTGTCCCCTGCTTGATTAGAACATAGTGATGGATCATGGATCAGGAGGATAATTCCACTGACATTCTGTTTCAAAGTCTTCTTTTATGTGTCATCCAACAGCAGAACAGAGGAACAATAAGATCATGTTCGTTCCCATATGGGCAGCTTGTCAAAAAATGTGCCTCATTATTTGCTTTGTTACAGAGGAGAAAGATCTGATGTGTGATTTTGATCACATAGAAGAGTCAGGATTATCACCTTTTTCATGGTGCTTCAACTTCACATTGCCACTCATGTTGATAAAGAATTTCCATGCGTCCTTTCATCTTAGAGCATTATCTCTAGGCCTTCATTATTCGACATGGGAATATCTAAAAACATCCTCAATGCATATTATCATGGATATTAGATCTATTTCTTCAACAATAGGGGAGCTATTTCAATACACTTGCATTATATTCCAGATTCTCATGATAACATGTAAGTTATCATTTTAAAACATTAATCATGTTTGTACATGTGGAAACCTTAGGTCCTTACAAAGCTATTCCTAAACGTTACCATTCTTGTACATTTTATTTTACTACAAACTTCAATGTACCGTGTTGAAATTTCATGACAGAAAACTAATTTAAAAGTCTTTAAAGGTATTGTGAAACCTTAGCTCAGCACACATATACACCTGAAGGTGCGCATGCACGGAAAAACATAGCTAACGGGGCGAGCACGTAGGACGGCCTTACGTTAACATATCACCAGAACAATTGAGAATTAGGAGGACCACTTATTTAGATGATCCACCCGGAAGTAAATGATCCCCTTCTATACTTTTAAAGTGGAATAAAAAAAAGATAAAGGACTGGATTTTTGTTTTTTTGTTACATACAGTATCTTCTTGTTTAGCTCCTATTCTAGGTTGTCCCAAAATGAATGTAGGGAAATCCTACTGGGATATCCAGTGCAACCTCTTGTTTCCACTTATAACAGTGGTTGCAGTGTCAGCAGAATGATGTACACCCAGACAAAAAATGGAATGGTTTGCATTAACCTTTGCAAGACCGGGTTGTTCTTGTGACAGTCTATTCCTATGTATGATAATTATTTCTTTCTTAGGATCAGGATTCAAGATTTTTAAGTTCTTTACTGACTCGTCACTGGAACAAGTTGTCTTTCATGATTTGTCAGGTTTGGTCAGATGGTAGAGGAAAGACTATTTCTCTTAAAGGAAATAGTGTATTAGTAAGTAAAATGCTTTTGATGGTTCATTCTACACAAACCCTTAATCATCGACATTCCAAGGCAGCAAAGTTAGATGATTTTTTTGGGCACTTCCACATCTCTTTAAAATCTCTGCCTGTAAAGAATCTTGAAATATGCCTAAAATAGAAGAGAGGTTGGAGCACCATATCATTAACATTATATCAGAAGCATTCTTGTTTGAAGAAGTGTAGCTTGTTGCTAAACGTTTGAAAGTTATGCAAGATGTTAATGGTAGTCTTAAATGAAACACAAGTTTAACATTTCCACCAGTTTAATTTCTATGTTTTGAAGCAATCAGCAGCTTAGTAAGATCACAGTTTTGCAAACATGAGGGCTCTGATTTTAGAGCATCATTTTCTGATGAACGCCTGCTTTGATGTAGCACACCAAATGGAAAATTAGAACAGGCATTCAACAGCTGATTGATAATACGTTTCTTTCTGTCTTATATCTCCTACAGGACCCACAGCCAGCCTGGTGCTTCTGTCACAGCTCCAGCCTTTATCCCGATCCCCATCCTCCACGTTAACACTTTACATTCCCCTCATCCTAAGGGACGGGACGTCGGGTCTCACTAGCACGGGCACGGTCACTGTGTCTGTCTGTCCCTGCCTGAGAGGTGGGGCCCGCGCTGAGGAAAAAGAAAAGGATAAACAGACGGAGGGAGAGTGGGACTGGGAAAGAGAGGCAGTGTGTCTTCCACAGCAGTCCATGTTGCCCTCCCCAGGGCTCAGCACTGCAGCACTTCTGGCTATCCTTGCATGTGTTGCTACTCTACTGGGTAAATATCTTGTTACATAAAATGTAATTCTGTGAAGTTTATGTAAATACACACACCATGCGAGAGATGCAAAAACCCTCAATCGTCACACTGATACTCTCTAAGCTCTTTTACGCTCTTTTAAATATGTACATTGGCTAAAGAAGAGTTAAACATTTTTAAATACATTTGCTTAAAATTGGTATTGTTGGAACTGCATGTTTTGGCTCAGATTATTCTTTGGATTCAACCATTCAGCACAACGTTCTCTTTCCCACCTCGCGTTTGGTCA